TTTTCACCACTTGGACATCTGGAAATAACATAGTTGACAACTTTATTCAACAATGTCAAATGAAATCTTCTCTGCCACAATATATTTTAGAATGGATACCTTTTGAGCAATTCATAAAAGTAACAAAGTTGACAGAAAGTGGATTTAGTTCAATTTTTACTGCTACATGGACAAGAGGAATTATTGTTGATTATGACGAAAATAAAAAGGAATTTAGTTATTTAGGAGGGCAACTAGTAGTATTAAAAAGTTTAAATGATTCAAGTAATCCAGGAAAAGGCTTTTTTAATGAGGTTGGTAATTGTCATTTAAAACAAAATAAACAATACTGTATTATTTAATACTAATTGATTTTATTTATTTTCAGGCAATGAATTATTGCAAAATTAAAGCACCACTGATTGTTAATTGCTATGGTATAACTAGATTCCCAGATAATGGAAATTACGCAATAGTTTTAGGCTATGTTTCAGAGGGAAATTTAAGGGATTATTTACAAAAAATCATTTAAATTTAGCATTAAAAGACAGAATTACAATGCTTAGATATTTATGTAATGCATTAGATTATATACATCGGAGAGATTTAATCCATTGTGATTTACATAGTGGTAATGTACTTGTGCAAGGAGGTCATTGTTTTATTACAGATTTGGGATTATGCGGACCAGTTGATGAAAAGTCATCAGATAAAGTCTATGGGATTGTATCATATGTTGCACCTGAAGTACTTAGAGGCAAAAGAACACCAAGGAATCTGATATCTATAGTATTGGGATGTTAATGTGGGAAATATTTGCAGACCACCCACCATTTGACAATAGAGCTCACAATCATCATTTGATTTTTGATATATGTGCAAAAGGTTTACGACCACCAATACTGCCTGGAATGCCTGATGATTGTGTGCAAATGATGCAGAGGTGTTGGGATGTGAATCCATCAAAAAGACCAACTAGTAGAGAACTTTGGACATTTGCCAGGGATAAACGTAAGAAAATTTTTAATGATATCAGTAATAGTAATAGTAGTGGTGGTAGTAATGATTCGCAACAAGCACACAAATCACATCCAGATGCATATCACACAAGCAGAATCTTGGATGAAGAGATTGCTAAATCGAAAAGTTTAAAGAGCTATACAAATGATGATTAACTCTTTTCTTTAAAGGTAAATAAAAATTTCATTATTAATTAATCGGAAATTACTATACATTTAATTCTTACTGACAATATTTTTTATTCACATTTAATTGATTAATAAACATTTAATAATAGTAAAAGAAAGAATTGATGAATACTATTTTAATCTCCATTCATTACAATTAATTCTTTTTTTATTTGATCTTTATTTCTTTATTAAATTATAATAATATTTGAAACAATAAACTTTTTACAGTTTTTCGATTCTTGTTAAATGGTGATATCTTTTTGGTTAATACCGATTATTTAACAAGTATGACTGATTATGGCTTAACCTTTGGGTTACCCCTGTCAGTTAATTGCAAGCAACTCACAATGATTCGATGCTTGTCGATTAATTAGTTAACGAACGAGTTTACTTTGGTTCTCGATTACTGTCACCTAGGCAAACCCATAAGCGCACTTAATGGTACTAATAACCGCATATAAATAAGGATGGCCCTTTTATAACGTTCAATGGCTTCCTTGTTTCATATGATTGATAATATGCAACGCGATACCGTTATAACAAGATCGTTATAACAAATTTGATTGTGTTATTATTATTTGTAAGTTTCTAGATTTCGATTTCGATTTCGATTTCCGAAAAATTTTGAAATCGAAACTAAACTCGATAAAATTAAAAGTGAATTAAGTTTCTAATCACATAATAATAATCAAAATCTAAATCAACAAAAAGAAATGGGGAATTTAAGAGAAATTGACCAGACCGCCCACAATGGTAGGATTTT